AGCCAAAAACCGGGGAACGCAAGAGATCCCTTGCGCAGGATTCCCAGGAAGGAAGCATCTTGTCCCTCAAGCTGGCAGGAAGGCTGGGATCCCCCAATGTCTTTAACTTGGGTCAACAAATCGATCACACATCTGAATGGGTCCTGAATCCTGAATCATAACGTAACCCAAATAGGTGGGTTTGTACAGTGGGCTAAGCCATGGGAAAAGCACCTTCACCTGTCGTGGGAATGGAGACAGTGTGTTTGAAGTTGGGAAGAGGCAATAACAGGTATTTCCAAGCATTGGACTTTGGGGGGGGGGGGCCCTCCCAAAAGGCCTTTTTTCCCGGGTTTCCTCAACCTTGGCCACTTTAAGACGGGGGGACTTCAACTCCCAGAATCCCCCAGCCAGCAACTCCCAGAATCCCCCAGCACCTGTCTTAAAGTTCCCAAGGTGGAGAAACACTGCTCTAGGGAGAAACAATGCCAAAATCTAGATAAGCAATGAAAGGAAAATAAATGGAGAGCTGGGCAGGAATGTTCTTTTTTCTATCACTTTTGGGATTATTTTTCAGACATTCCAAGAAGCAGCTTCTCTTGCAACTGGGTTTCTCCCGGACGGGGAGGCAGAGAGATGTGCTCTCGCTCATGGGGCGCCTCCGTCCTGCGCCCATCCACCCGCCCCAGTTGGCCAGAACGGGAGAGGGCAAGGGGGCCGCAGGCTCACTGAACACAAGGCCCGTTCTTGAAAGTGAGTAAGGAGAGCTGAAGCCTACCCCTTCGGATTCTTCCCCCATCTCGAAACAGAAGCAGGAAGGCGGAGAGAAGAACAGCAGCAGCAGCAGCAGCAGGGAAGGGAAGGGAAGGGAAGGGAAGGGAAGGGAAGGGAAGGGAAGGGAAGGGAAGGAAAAGAAAGGAAAGGAAAGAAAAGGAAAGAAAAGAAAAGGAAAGGAAAGGAGAAAGGAAGCAAAATAGGTGAGAGGGAAGGAGGGAGAAAGAGGAGGGGAGGGGGAGGAGGAGGGGAGGGGAAGAAGTGGAGGAGGAGGAGGAGAGGGGAAGGGAAGGGAAGGGAAGGGAAGGAAAAGAAAGGAAAGGAAAGGAAAGGAAAGGAGAAAGGAAGCAAAACAGGTGAGAGGGAGGGAGGGAGAAAGAGGAGGGGAGGGGGAGGAGGTGGGGAGGAGGAGAAGAAGGAGGAGAAGAGGAGGAGGAGAAGAATAGAAGGAGGAGGAGAGGAAGAGGGGAGGGGAAGAAGTGGAGGAGGAGGAGGAGGAGGAGGCGGAGGAGGTGGAGAGGGGAAGGGAAGGGAAGGGAAGGGAAGGGAAGGGAAGGGAAGGGAAGGGAAGGGAAGGAGGAAGGGAAGGAGGAAGGGAGGCAGACAGGCACGCCAGGAAGGGGAAGAAGGGAGACAACATACAAAAAAGGGAGGGATGAAAAGTTAGTTGGCTCAGCATACAACACGTAAAAGCCCACACGCTACTGAGGCACCTACCTAAGGATGCCATTCTTAGCCACCTGGTTCAAACCAGCCCTGCAAGTTGGCACTGACTGACCTAGCTTCTGCTAACCCCTAAGCAAGTAGAGAGAGCCAGGCTGGTGTCATGGGGAAGGCACCGGGCTAGAACCCAGGAGACCCTGGGTTCTAGTCCCACCTTAGACACAAAGGGGGTGACTCTGGGCCAGTCCCTCCCTCTCAGTCCCAGGAAGGAGGCAATGGCAAGCCACTTCCGAAAAACCTTGCCAAGAAAAC